TCACCTGTGGACCCCAAAAGAAGCTGATGAAGCAGAGATGTGCTTCATCAGCTTCTTCTCTCTGGCTATAGCAGCCAGATGACTGACAGGTGAATGCGGAAGTGATGTAACACACATCACTTCTGCATTCACAGCCCGGACGGAGACGCGAACGGCGGACGCGAACGAGCACATATAGGCGATCGGCGGGCTATGGACCCGCTGATCGCCTATATGTGAAACACCCGGTAACGGGTGTGTTTAATGGGCGGGTCTTTTCTGCCCGTGCATGCCCGCTAGGGGGCGCGCGCGAGCAGAAAAAAATTGCCGTCTGGAGACAGCAACCCGCAGATGCTGCAGTGCCGTCAGTCCGTTTTTTTACTACGGGCGGACGGCAAGAGGTTAACAAATCCATCGATGTACATGAAAACAAATAAACCTCAAACGTGCGGGCAACAAAGAATGCAAAGACAATAGCATGTCAGCAAATAACAGGCATCAAATATAATAATTTTTATTTTTTTTATTTTGTTATTATTATCATCATTATATTGGTATTATTATTGTACTTATTAATATTATTATTATGAGTTGTACTATTTTTTTTATTTTTTGGAGTTTGGTACCATGATAAATCTTGTGATGATTATTATACATTGAAAATAAAGAACTTGAAATATTTTGTAAATTAAATTTTTATTCTACATGTATTATTATTATTGATGTTACCTGTTGGACCTTTTTGCTATTAGTGGTGTAAGGAAATAATTAGCTTAGTAGGTTTAGTTGATTTATTATTGGTATATAATCGCAAACAATTTTATAAAGCACTTTACACATTGGCATCAGTCCCCGCCCTCAAGGAGCTTTCACTCTAGTTCAGGGGTAGCAAACCTCAGGCACCCTCCAACTGTGGTGGAACTACAAATCCCATGAGGCATTGCAAGATTCTCACATCCACAGACATGACTCCCGAAGAGATATGTATCATTGGATTTGTGGTTTCACCACAGCTGGAGGGCCGGAGGTTTGCTACCCATGCTCCAGTTGATCTCTCTCATCCATCCCCCTGTATTCCAGGTCGGTCAGAGGATTACGTCACATATAAAATAAGACGGCGATCCAATCCCTTCACTGAAGATGGACCAGAACAGGAGTCACCTAACCGACAGGATATTACAGCTCACCCTGGAGATCATCTACCTGCTGACCGGGGAGGTGAGGAGGATTCTGGGAGGTCACATGACATCACTCTTATCTCTATTCATAAAACACAGACCTGACCGGAGAGGTGAGGAGGATTCTGGGAGGTCACATGACATCACTCATCTCTATTCATAAAACACAGACCTGACCGGAGAGGTGAGGAGGATTCTGGGAGGTCACATGACATCACTCTTTTTCATAAAACACAGACCTGACCGGAGAGGTGAGGAGGATTCTGGGAGGTCACATGACTTTACTTTTCTGTATTAATAAAACACAGACCTGACCGGAAAGTAAAGTAAAAAAATGTATTCATAGGACATTTCATTCTTTTTAAATTCAGGTTTATATACCTCTGACAAAGTCTGATGATCATGTGACACCCAGCAGCCATCCCCATATGTCAAGAGAGTTGAGGAGCCAAAGCCCCATCATGGACCCCCCACCTCCCTCTCTGACCCCTGAGAGAAAAAAGAAGATCCTAGAAGTCACCCAGAAGATCATGGAGCTGCTGACGGGAGAGGTGAGCGGTGCCGGGAATTCTGGGACATGATCCAGGAACAGACAAGGGATGTGTCTGGATGGTGACTGTATCATTGTGTGTGTCAGGTTCCTATAAGGTGTCAGGATGTCTCTGTCTATTTCTCCATGGAGGAGTGGGAGTATCTAGAAGGACACCGGGATCTCTACAAGGACGTCATGATGGAGAACCGGCCGCCCCTCACATTACCGGGTAAGAGGAGAGAGCAGTACGGAGGGTCCACCTAGATCCCCCATCATCTGATACACACATAGAAACAATGTATTCAGTCAGTGTGTGTGTTTCCTACAGATGGATCCAGTAAGAGGAACCCACCAGAGAGATGTCCTTCTCCTTCTGAAAATCTCAGATACTATAAACATTACTCAGAGGTAAAGGTTTTATAGACCAAAAGCAACAAACCAGAAACTTGTCTTACTTGAAACCAGAAACAAAGGTTTAAAAAAATGTATTACATTGATTTAATTCAGAATGAAGAGCTGAATATTGTCATAGTCAATATTGACCCAGAGACCCAAAAACAGCAAGTAGATGTGAAGATCAAGGAGGAGGAACGTTCTCCAGAGATCAGCACAGGTGAGGAAATAGCACCAAATCCAGAAGAGAGTCCCAGATTCTCCTTGTCCAGTAACTACAGCAATCTCTTCTTCTCCCCCCTCCTCTGTCAATGGGGGGACGGAATGTGTCTAGTGGGGAGAGTCCTCAAACATGTTTGTATTCACATATGGAGCTATGTATTCTCTAATTCCCCAACCGTACATGGCAGTAGGTGAGATGCAATGGGTAAACTCTTCAAGAGTGTCTGGAGACTGATGACCCTTCTGGCTCTGTTCCTTCTGTAGTTTCAGTTGCACGTCTCACTTCCTCAAGCCTTTTTTCGGTGGGTTGGGAGACCTCAGAGGTCTTCAGTATTACTCGGGAGAGTTCCATGCTTATCTATGTCGTGGTATTGGAGCCACAAATGCTTCAAATCTCCTTTTTTGTAATCTTTTATTGACAAATTTCACTTATCTTTTTCTACAGTTACGGACCACAACCAGAACTCAATTATCAGCTCACACAAGACGGACCTTTCTGTTGATGGCTCGGCTGACCACCTTGTGTTCTCCAAAGTTGACCATCATGCTGAAACCAGTCCGGGCGAACAGAAAGGTAGGAGCCCGTGTCTGAGATGAAGGCTACTCCTTTAAAAAAGATCTCTGGGAAAAAAATCAAAAACCTCCACATTGCAAGGATTAGGGCAGCGGGGGCGAGCCTATGGCAAGCGTGCCACAGAGAGCACACAGAGGCCCCTCTGGTGGCACGCGAGCTTAGACAGGGGTGTCAAATGTGTATATTGCTCAACGCCCGGCACAGGTAGTTCCGGCTGCCTAGGGGGTAATTGTTTGCTATATTTGGCCCTGCTTCGGGCAAGCGGGGCTAAATGTACAGCAATGAAGCCGTCGATAATTTAATACAAGTGATCCCGGTGATGCCATGGCGATAACTTGTATGCAGCCTGCAGGTCCCACCCCATGGTCCACTCCCGGCCGGCCGCCTCTCTTCCCACCAGCTGCCTTTCTCTCCCTGCTGTCTGCCTCCCTCCGCGCCATGGTTTTCGGGATCCCCTGCTCTTATGGGGGACCCTGAACCACGACAAAGTAGTTCAAGATGGAGAGCCTGGAGAATGTCTGTTCTCCGCTCTGCTCCGAGTGAACACTGAGACAGGAAGGCTGTACTCGCAGCCTTCCTGTCTCATCTGTCACAGCAGAGCCAGCAGAGTGCTGCACTCAAACTCCGGTAATGGAAGTGATAGCAATAAAGTTAAGTGAAAAGTTAAAAAAATAAAAATTAAAACAAAAGATAAAAAGTAATTAAATAAAAATTAAAAAAAAACAAGTAAAAATTATAAGAAATACTAATTACAATAAAGAAAAATTGTGATAAAAAAAGTTAAAAAAATTAGAAAGTCAATAAAAATGATAAAAGAATAAAGTAAAAGATAATATGTTAAATAAAAACATGAAAGAAAAAGTAAAAAACATTAAAAAAGAATAAAATGTTTAAATATGTGTGTTTCCCTATTTTGCCTGCAGCAGTGATGCTGAACATCTTTAAACCCCAGTGCTCAAATTAAAACACAATATCAAACTTATTTTCAGTGTTGGCCCTTGATTTTGTGTTGCCGTTTGGGCACTCGGGCTCAAACATTTTCGCCATCACAGGTCTCGGGGGGCTCAAATGAAGCAGTTTTACTCCCCTGACTCTCAGTCCTCCATCAGTCGGCACGCACCCCTCTCCTCCTCTACTGCAGCTATGGAATCTCCCGCAGTGTCCTCATGTCTAATGCAGGTCAATGGACAGGGGTCCTTAGACCGCTGGAGCCCAGGGGAGTAGAGGCTGTGGGGTCTGGTCTAGTAGCCCAGATGGAGTCGGCGGGACCGAGAATCGGGTAAGTAAATCTGCTTCGAGTCCCCTAGACGAAACAGACACTTAACCCC